TTTTCTTTATCCATTCATCTACTGAAGGGTATCTATATTTTTCTTTTAGCTTTAAAAGTTGCTATTTCTTATGACTTTTGGCAATTGTGAATTCTGCTGCTGTAAACATTAATGTGGCTACATCACTGTAGTATGTGTATATATACATATATATCTCTCACCAACAACTATCCAAAGAGGTCAGCTGTAAGTGAAGTACATAAAATCAGTAAGACAGATATTGTTTAACACTTATTCTGGAAGATAGTTATTTTACAAAAACATAATTTCCTGCCCCAATAAACAGATGTGTGTATATTTTCTTTTCCACTTAGAGATTTGGGGGTAAGGGTGGTAAGAAGGTTATATAATATGTAATATTTTTGTTAGGACAGTTTACATTTTTTAAAGTTTTACTAAGGAAATGTTTATTCCAGTCAAATAAGAATGATTCTTAACATGATCTTTAGAGATGTAAAGTTTTCCCCCAAGCTGACCATGACCCATATGTTGAAAACTTTTAAAGGATAAAAGGACTTTTGAATGTAGATGGTAAAGAAATTAACAACCCTAAAAGTTCTTCGCTAAATTTCTGTGAATGCAATTCCTTTGTCCATGTGTAAATATCAGAATTCTATGTAAAAAAATTAAATGTCTCATACACTTTTTATTCTGAAGATAAATAAGCTTTTAAAAAAATTTTTTAGTAGTCAATGACCTTTATTTTATTTACGTTTATATGGGGCTAAGGATTAAACCCAGTGTCTCACACCTGCTAGGCAAACACTCTACCACTGAGTTATAACCCAGCCCCAGAAATAAGCTTTTGTATTTATTTATATGTGGTGCTGAGAATCGAACCCAGTGCCTCACACATACTAGGCAAGTTCTTCCACTGAGCTATAACCACAGCCTCTAGTCTGATATTCTTAACATCCTTCTCCAGAGCACTTATCTGATTTCCCTTCATTTTCATGGTTATCAGACCATTTACTCTCTTTTATTGTAATATTTCTTCCTTCTTTTCTTAAGTATTTAAATGTTTCTCTTCCTTTCTTCCTTTTCTTTCATCTTCTTAATTTTTTGTTTTAAAATCACACAATGGTCCTGAAGATCTTAAAATAATGGATAAAGTTGCAGTATTTTTTAAAATATCGAGAAAACATTGAATAAAGTGGTAACACAAGGGATTTTTCAACTAGAAGTTCTGTATTTTTCTTTTAGCTTTAAAAGTTGCTATTTCTTATGACTTTTGGCAATTTTAGTTAATGATTGGAAGCTTCAGTACCCTCACATAAAATAAGAGGGTAGAATTCATAACATTGAGTTTCTGTGTCAGATACTTATTAATATATAGTAATTAATTTTAAAAATGATGACACTGATGAACCATGAATTTTAACTTATCCTCCTGTACTAATAATTAGTATCAAAGCCAGAATTTGAACTAAGGTAGTTTGCCTTCACAGTCTATGCTGTTTACAGTTACCACTAGCATTTGTTAGGCTGAAACCCATAACACTGAATCACATTTCATTTTATATGTGCATATAAATTTCCCACATTTAATATGAACACATGATCAAGTAACATAAATGTGATTATAAATGACAAAAAAAAGTACTAAATAATTTGTTAGGCCAACTACTGATAACTAAAGTGACTCAAAATAGACAATGCTGCCTATGAGGGCCTCTGGGAAGAGAAATGAGGCTTTAGTATTGATGTAGAAGTGAACTTTTTTCATAGACATAAAAATAATAAAGGCATTCCACTTGGAAAAAACAAAATGCATGATTGACTTGTTAGTAAGAAATACAGATGGGCATATTGGAAGTCATTTTATAAAGAAAAACTTAAGATAGTGTGTATATATTTAAGAGTAGAAAGATTCCAGTAGAAAGCCTGAAGGTACAGAATCTCAGTTGTTCAGGAAGCTGAGGCAGAATTTAAGATCAGTATAGCACAACACAGCAGAGTATTGCCTAGTGTGTATGAGACCCTAGGTTCAATCCCCAGTACAGGGAGTGGGGAGGAAGAAAGCCTAAAATGAATAGGATCAAGAATGTTGCTTTGATTTCACAATCTGTGGTGTTAAAAAATGAATCAAAACAGTTTCTAAAAGATACTTCCTCTTCACAAAATACTCATTGCAAGAGGAAGATACTGAGTAGAAGGAGTTGCAGTGATAGTGGCATGGGCTAAGGGTATAAGCTATATGAATAAGAGAGTTCTTTAGAAAATTAGTGGGTACCAGATATATATATATCCATCATTGTAATATGTTATCAGTTTAATTTGACAGATCTTTGTAGATATTACAGGCCAGCCATTATACTAAGATACATACCAAGAAGAACAAGACAAGACAGATAATTTTAGCAGAAGGGTAAAGTATAGAA